AACCTCAGGAACATCCTCATATTTTTAGAAAAATTTTCCGACGCCGCACGTGCCTAGCACACTGACGACGTCAGTTAACGCCGTTAGGAATATTCTGTTAAATCTAACTGATGCCGTTAACGCCGTTAGGAATATTCCATCCAAACTGACGGCCCGTCATCTTCTCCGGCCAAACTCCAGCACTATCGCCGGTGCCGGAAAATCGGGAAATTTTCAAAACTTTGTATCTTCTTCGTTTTTCAACCAAATTTCACAAAATAGGTACCAAAATGAAGCTTACAACAAGAGGAACAAATCCATACCACTTTCAAGCACTAAAACCCACGGAATCTCGTCGGGAAAACACCACCAACTCCGGCCAAACTTGTAACTCACGATCCTAACGTCCAAAACCTTCAAACGAACCACCCCGAGCCTCCTAAGGACCTCACCAAGCTTCCTACAAGCTTGAAATTCCCAAAAACACAAGAATTAACGTGTGCATGAATAGTGACCAAAATCGGGGATCCCGAGTTCGACGTGAAAACGAAGGTATCCTTACTTGAAATGGGTATGGTTGAACTCCTAAGGACCTCACAAGCACGAATATGTAATTTGTTTCCTCGATCTGTGAAGTTTTCAAGGGTTTTGGGTGGTGTCCGTACGAAAAGAATAGGAATGGGAGAGAGAGAGAGAGGGACTCGGGACAGGGCAAAGAGAGAGGGTAAGTGTGAGGGTGTGTGTGTGGTCCAAATTCCACCAACCAAAGCCCAAAAATGGCCACACAATGAAACAAACATACTAGGGCAAAACCGTCATTTCACCCCTACGGTACGAAAAATCTGGGACAGGCTATCACAATTCAAGTCATACAACCGTTTTCATCACCACCATTAAGGCACAGAGCATGCAAGTCGTGCAATTTTTTTATTTTTTATTTCTTATTTTTTTTATTTTTTAAATTATGATTATTAAAGAAAGGGTGTGAGTTAATATTATAATAATTTAGAGAAATTGAATTTTTGAACATATGCGGGGAAATTCAACACCTTATTAATTAGGATATTATACCACTTGCAATCCTACAATTCCACAAACACAAATCCCATTTCACAAAACTTAAAAGTTCAAATTAAATTCCATTTGAACTTGGATTCCCATTTTCAAAGCATACATTGGCACAACAAATTAGGAATTTCTCAAAGCAAAATTGCCATTTGCAAAAGAAACTCAGAAAATTCTCAAAGCAAAATTGGAACAAAGGGGTACGAATCTCATATCCTTGTTGATTTCTTACTTTCAAATTACTGTTAGGCCAAGGGCCATTTTGAATCCTCTATGCATAGAGTCTTTATTAATTAGAATTTTTGTTAAATTGCACAAATGACACCTATATTTCTTTAACTTATGTCATTTACCACCCTGGCTAATTAAGTTACAATAACCACCCAAACTAAATATTTTAACAATATTTCTACATGCTAGCTCCTGTATAGATATGTGGCATCATTTAACTAGAAGGGAACTCAAGCTCTATCAATGTACCCGTCACCTAGAAAAATTTCTTGAGGAGTGGATGGACCACTTTCGAGATAATTGGGCCCAATTTTACAAGGAAGATGGAATTCGACCCCCGACACATTTTAGTGTGGGTTATTTTGCTGTAGTTTCAGAAATAATGTGAATTATTTTGGTTCAGTTTCAGAAATAATGTGGGTATTTTGCTTAAGTTTCAGAAATAGTGAGGTTATTTTGTGTAGTTCTAGAAATAGTGTGGGTTATTTTGCTGTAGTTCCATAAATAATGTGGATTATGTTGGTTAAGTTGAAAAAATATTGTGGTTATTTTGCTATAGTTCTAGAAATAGTGTAGTTATTTTGCTGTAATTCCAGAAATAGTGTGAGTTATTTTGGTTAAGTTCTAGAAATAATGTGGATTATTTTGGTTAAGTTTCAGAAATAGTGTGGTTATTTTGCTATAGTTCCAAAATTAGTGTGGATTATTTTGGTTAAGTTTCAGAAATAGTGTAGTTATTTTGCTATAGTTCCAAAAATAGTGTGGGTTATTTTGCTATAGTTCCAGAAATAATGTGGATTATTTTGGTTAAGTTTCAGAAATAGTATGACTTATTTTGCCATAGCTTCAGAAATAGTGTGTGATTATTTTGTTGTAGTTCCAGAAATAGTGTGTTGTATTTTGATTCAGTTTCACAAATAAAGTGTAATTTTGTAGAAGATTCATAAATAGTATTTATTTTTCAATTCAGAAACAATGTGAATTATTTTGGTTCAGTTCATAAATAGTATGAATTATTTTGTTACTTGTCATGCTTGTTAAGCCTTTTTCTGATTTGGAATTAATTGATAAAATTCCAAAGGGGATCTCTTTTATTTTCTTCCTTCTCCCCCAATTTTTCCTACTTCGTTTCATCTCTTTTTTTCTATGGTCAAAAGTCAAAACTAAGAAGGCCCAACTTCCTTCTTCTCCTCCACCACCACCACAAAACCCATCATTTTCTCATTACTAAATCAAGCAAAATCATAACTAGTAGCAATAGTAAACTTCCTTCTCCAATACCAAAGCTATCTCTCTCCTCACTCACTCACTCCCTCTTAAAGCTCAACAAAAGTATGAATCATAAATAAAGCCCCCAGATCAGGGAAAGAAGCAATTAAAGGTACAAAATTACTCATGCCACTCAACCCAAATGACCCAAAAAAAAGAGCATAAGTTAAATTCCCAAAAAAAAAATTACAATTTACAAGAAAAAATTTCAGAAGCATTCCATTGATAGCAAGTGAGGAAAAAGCTAAAGGCAGGGGGGGAAAAAAAAAATCTTTCTCTACCACTACTGCTGGTCTTCTTACGAGGGCAAGTGGTGAAAACCCCAAAATTTTGTTTTTTTTTTTTATATTAATTTTTTAAGGAAAATTATGGATTTGTGTGTGAGGGTTACTAGATATACCTAGTGGCGGCAAGTTTAGGTCTGGGCGACTGTGCACAACATTTGCAATCAAAGCTTCAATCACATAAATGTCTGATATTTTTTTTTTTTTTGGGTTATTCATATTCAAAGTAATTTTGCTCTCTTTAAGTCTACATGCGTGTGTACAAGTGTGGGCACACCAAATATGGAAGGATTTGAGGTTATGGAGGCAGAGAATAGCAGAGAGAACTAAAAAGAAAGAGAAATGTTAAACGGGGCTGGGCGTGCCAATCGTTGAAAGGATTTAAGGGTAAAATTGGAAATTCCATGTTTGGGCCATTTTAATTGGACTGATTCAATACTGAGTTTTGTCCTAACCATTAAATAAAATTATTACATAGTTTTTGGATAACATTCAAAATTTTCAAGTTCTTATCATTAGTTTTTCCCATATTATAGGACGTGGATTCGTAATGTTGCCTATGTAGTACGTAGCAGTATTTTGATTCAGTTTCACAAATAGTGTGTAATTTTGATTCAGTTTCACAAATAATGTGTAATTTTGTTGTAGATTCATATAGTGTGTAATTTTGATTCAGTTTCACAAATAAATAGTATTTATTTCTCATTTCAGAAACAATGTGGAGTATTTTGCTTCAGTTCAGAAATAGTATGAATTATTTTGTTACTTGTCATGCTTGTTAAGCCCTTTTTTGATTTGGAATTAATTGATAAAATTTCAAAGGAGATCTCTTTTATTTTCTTCCTTTTCCCCCAATTTTTCCTACTTCATTTCATCTCTTTTTTTCTATGGTCAAAAGTCAAAAGTCAAAACTAAGAAGGCCCACCTTCCTTCTTTTCCTCCACCACCACCACAAAACCCATCATAAAAGTATGATTCATAAATAAAGCCCTTAGATCAGGGAAAGAAGCAATTAAAGGTACAAAATTACTCATGCCACTCAACCCAAATGACCTCAAAAAGAAAAAGAGCATAAGTTAAATTCCCAAATTCCCAGAAAAAATTGAAATTTACAAGAAATAATTTCAGAAGCATACCATTGATAGCAAGTGAGGAAAAAGTTGATGGTAGAAGAAGAAGAACAACAAGAAAAAAAAAAAAAAAAAAAATTTCTCTACCACTACACTCCTGGCCCACCTTCCTTCTTTCCTCCACCACCACCACAAAACCCATCACAAAAGTATGATTCATAAATAAAGCCCTTAGATCAGGAAAAAAGCAATTAAAGGTACAAAATTACTCATGCCGCTCAACCCAAATGACCTAAAAAAGAAAAAGAGCATAAGTTAAATTCCCAGAAAAAATTGAAATTTACAAGAAATAATTTCAGAAGCATACCATTGATAGCAAGTGAGGAAAAAGTTGATGGTAGAAGAAGAAGAACAAGAAGAACAAGAAAAAAAAAAAAAAAAAAAAAAAAAAAAAAAAACTTTCTCTACCACTACACTCCTGCTTGTCTTCTTATGGGGGCAAGTGGCGAAAATCCCAAAATTTGTTTTTTTTTTTTATATTAATTTTTTAAGAAAAGTTATGGATTTGTGTGTGAGGGTTACCGGATATAGCTAATGATGGCAAGTTCAGGTCTGGGCGACTATGCACAACATGTGCAATCAAAGCTTCGAGCACATAAATGTTTGATATTTTTTTTTTTGGATTATTGATATTCAAAGTAATTTTGCTCTCTTTAAGTCTGCATGCGTGTGTACGAGTGTGGGTGCGCCGAATATGGAAGGATTTGAGGTTATGGAGGCAGAGAATAGCATAAATATCTAAAAAGAAAGAGGAATGTTAAACGGGCCTAGGCATACCAAGCGTTGGAAGGATTTAAGGGTAAAATTGAAAATTCCGTGTTTGGACCATTTTAATTGGACCAATTCAGTATTGAGCTTTTCCTAACCATTAAGTAAAGTTACCAAATTATAAGACGTGGATTCATAATGTTGCTTATGTAGTACGCAGCAGAAGATGTTTGCTCATGTAGTACGCGGCAGTAGTCTTGACTTGAGCTGCGCTTTCTTCAGTCAGTCAGTTGTTCATCAAGGCTCTCTTCAATCGGTTGGCAGGTGAATCTGGTGTGTGCTTTCAAGTTGTTTCTTGCATCATCCACTTTCATGTCGATTTTTAGTGACTTGTGGAGATGGATTTTTGGTGGTAATGATGAGCATGATTCTAATTCTGCTTCTCACGTTCAACATCGCACACAAACCCGATCCTATGAGCAATCTCAACCCCTATTTCCTCCATCTAAACCAGTCTCATCTCCCTGTAATCCATCTTCATCGTCCCTCAAACCCCCATTTCCTCCATCTAAACCAGTCTCATCTTCATCGTCCCTCAAACCCCCATTTCCTCCATCTAAACCAGTCTCATCTCCATCCTCATCGCCCCTCAAACCCCCATTTCCTCCATCTAAACCAGTCTCATCTCCCTTTAATTCATCTTCATCGTCCCCGAAACCTTTTACGTCATTGTTTAAACCACCGGAATCTTCTTCTCTCAATGCATCGTCTCCATTTTCTCCTAATCGCCCTCCGGTATGTGCTTCAAAACCATCTCCACCTTCCCCTATTGGGCCTGCCGTATCTTCCACTAAGCTCCATCCAACGTTTAAGCCCGTTCTATCCCGCGCCTCTTCAAATGTACTGGATCAAAAGGGGAAGCAAAGCTATGTGTGGGTTGAGAATGATTCCTTACCTCTATTCGCAATTCCTGACGATATCAAGAATGGCATCGCACCCAAAGTTCTAAACCAGCCTCTGTCTCCCGCGACATATAAGGATTACTTCGCTGCTCTCTTATATGCTGAAGAATTATACTACGAGGTACGCATGAATCTTGCCAGTTTCGTAATGCATTTTTCCTCTTAGTTTGCTAGTTAAGAAAAAGCCTTTTACTCGGAAAAAATTTGAAAGATAAGAGGGATACTCTCTGTACTGTATCTGCATATGACGTCTCGTTAAGTTGTGTTCGTAGTAATCTTACTGCAGGCATTGGTTGGTCGTATGAATCATAGATCGTAGGGGGTTGTGATAGATGCAACGTTGTTATTTTCTCGGTTTTGCTTGTATGCTTTGCATCCTTGCATTGAAGAAAAACTCATGCTTTTCTTTGAATCAGAAATGGCCTCATTTCGAATTGGAGAATGTCCCTGTGGAGTTGCAGGAAGCAGCAATTTTTAAAAAACCAGACAAGGAAGAGAAAACCTTGGTAGCATTTGATATGGCTTCTTTTCCTACGAATCGCCCATTTCTTTTGTCGAGGGACTTGGTCTATGTGCGACCATCGGGGACAAAAGCTGAGCCATTTCAGGTAAACTACGAGCTTCGACCCATCAACATGCTCTGGATTCTAAACGTGTATCTCATTTCAAAACTTATCCGTCAACATGATCTTACCTGTTATACAGGGCTTTATATATCGCGTCGTCAAAAGCAGTGTTGTTCTAGTAGAATTTGAAGATAATTTTTATGTCAATCACCATTCGGCCCAAAAATATGATGTCAGCTTCTCGTTCAATAGGGTCTGTTTGAAAAGAGCTCACCAAGCTGTACAAAATGCATCAGAGGCTTTGTTTAGGAACTTCCTCTTCCCTGAGTCTGTTTCGCGTGCGAGCATTCCCACTGCACCAGTGCTGCTGTGCACCGGTCATAAACTTGATCCCAATCAATTATCTGCAGTTCGTCGTATTTTAAGCATTCGTGGCTCACCACCTTACCTATTGGCTGGCCAGCTCTGTGTTGGAAGGAGCGATTTTGGGCTATCGAGAACTGGACTGGTGGTTAGTGAAGCAGTGCACCAGTTACGTCAAACTTCACACGGAAATAGGATGCTCATATGTGCTCCTAGTAACCGCTGTTGTGATGGGCTTATGAGAAGCTTGTTGAAATGGATTCCTGAGTCGGACATGTTTCGAGCGAATGCTGCATTCCGCGAGAAAGATGAGGTACCCGAAGACATCCTCCCGTCATGCCTTTACAAAGAGCCCTACTTCTCTTGTCCTCCGACAGAGGAACTTCGTAAATTCAGAGTGATCTTCTCCACTTACATGAGTAGCTTTCGGCTACATGATAAAGGCCTAACTGCAGGACATTTTAGTCATATTTTTCTGGTGGATGCTTCGTCTGCTATTGAGCCAGAAATAATGGTGGCCCTGACTAGTTTCGCTGACAAGAATACTACTGTTATAGTTACCGGTGAACCAGGAAACCGTTCGTCTTGGATTCGAGCTGAGATTGGAAGGAATAAGGGGCTGAAGATTTCATTCTTTGAAAGACTCTCCAAGTCAGTGCCATATAATATAGAAGACAGTCCAATGTTCATCACACAATTGGAGCAAAGAGTCTGACTCATTGAACACCTACAGGCTACGGCCTGAACTTTATGGGTTTGTTTGTCAAGCGCCATCGAATGTGTACGTAATTATTCGAATGTGTACGGTATATGTTATCTTTTGGATGTGTACGTATAAGTTATTGTACTGACACATATGTTATCTTTTGGATGTGTACGTATAAGTTATTGTACTGACAGGTCTTGGTGTTCTGCAGATGATTTCTTGTGTATTAAGCTTAAAAGTTCAAACCATTTTCGTAGATGTCTTGGTTTATGTATGCAGTTTATGAGATGGAGATTTTTTATGGTACTCTAGAGTATTTCGCCACTCCAAATCTTTTAACCTTTGATATTTGGTTGAAAACTCAACAACAACAATAACAACAAAGATTTCTCTCTAAGTGGTGTCGGCTATATGAATCCTAGAACGTCATTGTGTTCGGTTTTGTGTCATGTCTTCCGTTAGATTTAAGTACTCCAAGTTTTTTCTTAGAGTCTCTTTCCAGGTCTTCCTAAGTCTACATGTACCCCTTCGGCCCTAAACTTCTGTCTCATAATCACATCTTCTAACGGAGCGTTTGTAGGCCTTAGTTTCACATGTCCAAACCACCTTAACCGATTTTCTCTCATTTTTTCTTCAATCTCAGCTACTACTATTTTACCTTGGATATCCTCATTCCTAATCCTATCCTTTCTCGTGTGCCTACACATCCAACGATGCATTCTCATCTCCGCTACACTTATTTTATGTACGTGTTGATGTTTCACCGCCCAACATTCCGTGTTATAAAGCATTGCTGGCCTTATTGTTGTCCTATAAAATTTTCCCTTGAACTTTAGTGGCATACGATGGTCACACAACACACCCGATACACTCTTCCACTTCATCCATCCAGCTTGTATTCTACGGTTGAAATCTCCATCCAACTCCCTGTTCTTTTGCAAGATAAAACCTAGGTAGCGAAAACGGTCGCTCTTTAGTACTTCTTGATCTCCAATCCTCACCCCTAACTCATTTGAACCTAAACTTGCACCCCTAACTCATTTGGTTGAAAACTCAAACCAGATAAATCCAACCGTTAAAAACGCCCGAGTATCGTATGCCGTATGACCGTTTGGGGGAAGAAAGTGCAGTGATAGAAGCTGCTCTCAGAAAAGAAAAAGGTGTACTTCAAACCTGAATGGGGAAGGAAAAAGGTTTATGGAACTACTTAGAATCATCAGCACCCCCACAAATCGGGCATCCCCGATTCCTCATGCACAAACTTTCTATTGTTCCCACAGCAAGTGAAAAAGGTGGCAAATTTCCAGACCCAGTTTGGGAAGATCTTCGTTTCAACTAAGTATTTCTGCAAAGATTTTGATCTGCAGAAGTTCAGTTGTCAATTTAACAACTAATTCAAAACCACAAGTGTTCCTCTCAGAGAGAGAGAGAGAGAGAAAATAAATAAATAAATAAATAAAGCTAATAGCGAAATGTTACAAACATAACAAAACAATTACTCGATTCAGAAAGATCACACGACGCATGCTACATCACAGCATTAGTGTTTCAACACTCAGGAAGATCATTCCCAATTCATACAATCAGACAGATCTGCACTTCTTCACACTTGAAAACCGGTACTTTAACATGAACTTTGAATTCAATATTGACAAACACAACAAAAACCACCTACCCCATGTTTTAGGAGACCAACTGCTTCGATTTTGCTTGCTCGTCCCAGCTTCACCTGATATTATTTACTTTCTAGACTTTACAGGCAACCTGCACGTTAAATTCACAATTTCGTTACTGAAGAACAGAAACAGTAGGAAGAACAAACCATGTATCACGAAAACCATATTCATGATCAATGATCCAGAGTTTCCAACACTGAATGTAACATTGAATTAATTTACAGTTGCCACACACACACACCAAGCATCGGAAAACTGATTCAGTTTCCAGTTTAGCGTGCTGCTCCCCAGTTGGGAGTGGTATTGGCCATTACATTTGATCCAACGGTTGGAATGTGCCTTCAAATGCGGCAGAGATGTATGTCGCGCTGTGAAGGCAGAGCAGTCAAACCCCTGCTGCTCAAGTCTAAACACGACTAGCAAAGTAGTCGAAAGATGATTTACCAATACCAGAACAATCACAAAAGCTAGCAATGTAATGTAGGAAGACGACTATAACAACATGTCATATAATTGGATATGAAGCATGAGGATCGATTAGTCGGAGATAGAAAGACGATTTGGAATAAATATTTTCATCATAAAATTGAAATTCTGGAAAGCCCTTTCCAGTTACAACAGCAAAACCTCCAGCTAAAACCCTAACTCTTCTTCTTCTTCTTCTTCTTCTCCTTCATTCTCTCTCCTCCTCCAGCAAAAACCTCCCAAATCCTACAAACAATTTGAACCCCTAAGAAAAACCCTAATTTAAATTGCATTGATACATTGCTTAAAATTCACAAATTTGCACAAACCCTTATTCTTCTTCTTCGTCTTCTTCGTCTTCTTCTTGTTCCAGCCACCCAAAGCTAGTTAAATTCTAACCTTATGAATCCTACTACAAAGAAATTTCTTCAAATAAAAGAAGAAGTCCAACTCTCTCACCTCTCCCCTAAAGGCTAAAACCACACAACCAACAACAACAAAAAAAACAAAACAGAGACATACACATATTTATATATACCAACAAAACACACCACCACCACCAGCCACCGCCAACGGACGGAACTCCAACCGAATCGGGTTTTTCAACGCTGGTCGTCTTCTCTCCGACCCGAATTGCCGTGCCCGCCCGACAAAGAAGCCAACAAATTGAGATGTCCAGGAAGGTAATTTCCCACTCTGGCCGCCGAGGCCTCGCCCATCGGCTGCTGCTGCAAGAACAACGAATGCTGCTGATGGTGCTGTTGCTGCTGCTGGTGGGACAGCGCTGACTGAGCCATCAGCTCCGGGGGTGGTGTGGCGGCGAAGCTCCACACCTGCCCGAAGTGCGGGGCCCAGAACCCGCCGGGTCCCCCTGCGTTGGGGCCTAGCATGGAGGCCATGGAGTGCCCGACGACTGAGACGGCTCCGTCGTTGTTGGCGTGGTTGTCGGAGGGGTCCTTGGCGGCGGAGGCGTCGTGGTTGTGGTTGTGGTTGTGGCTGTGGTTGTTTTCGGGGTCGTCGAGGGAACCGCGGACGCGTTTGCCGAGGATGAAGGGGGTGGGGCCCAGAAGCTGAGGTTTGTGATCGGAGGAGGTGGTGGAGGAGGGGGCTGAAGAGGAGGTGTTGCCACCGCGGAGGGAGACAGAGACGGTGGAGAAGGAGGCAGGGGTGGTGCCGGTGCCGGTGGCGGCGATGATGGAGGGCTCGGCCTGGCGGAGGAGCCATTCGATGGTCTGGCCGTCGGACTTGTGGCCGAGCTCACGTGTGAGCTGGAAGACACGTGCGGCGCAGATGATGGGCATGCGGATGCGGCGGCCCCGTCCGTCGACCTTGCTGTGTCGGTCCTTAGAGGGTGGCTTCTTGACGGCTAAGACGCCGTTACTTGACGGCCTCTGCGAGGTCTGCTCCACCATGGCTCCTGCGCCGCCGCCGCCGTTAGTGAGCTCGTTATTAGGCGCCTCGGAATTTGACATGGGAAGAAATTGATGGTGAGCTGCTCCTGCTCAGCTGGGTGTAAAGCTGGGTTTACACACCCACACACACAGTGCGTATACGAGCTGTTCAACTTCTAGAGGGAGAGGGAGGGAGAGAGGGTTGAGTGGTGGTGGTTTTCGGGGGGTTTTGGGGCGGGGTAGGGGGGAGGTGGAGAGGGAGAGTGGGGAGGGGAGGGAGGTGGGCTGGGCTGTAGGAAACACAGCTCTTTCAAATGATTGAGCTTCCAGACAGGAGCTGGTGGAGACAGAGGAGGGCACATGGGGTGGTGGCCCCCACTTATATACAAACACTCTTCCCCTTCACACCTCTTCCTTCACTGTGTGAAACACGCGCACTCCCAATCCCATAATTAATTAAAATGAAATTCTCTTTATTCTCTATTTTTTTAAACTAAATTTCTAAAATTATATGTGGCACTTTATTGTATTGGCGAAAAAGAATTATGTCCATACATTTTGATACATGTTCAATATTCACGGATTTCCTTCCAATGTAACGATTAACTATTTAACCCATTAATGTTATTACTCTACTAAAAATAATTATAAAAATCAGAAGAAAAAAAACTTCACATGCCATTTTTAGCATTTTACATTATAAGTTTAATTTTGGCCATTATTTTTATTTAATTTATTCAATCTGATGTCTACAAAGAAAGAGACGTGTGTGTAACGTCAAGTATTATGCGTAAAATTCACTTCCTTTATATAAGAACTAGCTCATTTTCATGTTGTTTGAAAGTTTGGCGCCTTCGTCCACCTTAGCCAAAATTTTCTTCAAATAATGGTCATGTGACAAGTATAAAGGATATTTTTCAAAAGCATTCTTTTGATCCAAAGACCCTATAATCATAGTTCCCAAAAAAAAAAAAAAAAAAAAAAAAAAAAAAAAAAAAAAAGACCCTATAATCATACTTACCTGATTGTTAATCAAAATTGGATACACTTGTTGTATGGAATGACGAGAAACCCTTAATAAATGACCCTTGTACTTGTCTGGTGACCTTTTTTTAACGAAACAAATAAGCAGTAGTGTTGCATTTTCACACACGTAGTTTCATGGGGTTAACTGCAAAAGAAATAAATAACTAGTTAGACAAAGGTGGAAAAATGAACGTAACGAAATTAATGGGCAACGATTTTCACACTTTTAGTCGTATGTTCGTTAAATTGAAATTTTTTCAATTGGTTCCACACTAACCAAGAAAACGGTATAAAGCTGAAAATTGAGTGTAAACATGAGTAACCTAATTAAAACCATCGCATTCAAATTCATCAACAGTGTCACTTAGTATTATTGTTTAATGATATTTCTTTTTATTTGTAAGTAAGAGGTTTTAGGTTCGATTCTCACTAAAAATTAATTTAAACTTTATTATTGTTAACTCATTATAAAGCTTAACTTGCTCTCTCTCGTCTTAATGTAAATAACATTATTTGTTTAAAATAAAAATAAAATTCATCAACAGTGGTCCTCTCTGTTGACTGCTACTAGTAATTTTCTCTCAGTTCATTCAAAATTACTGTCAAAAGGACGGGATAAAAACAGTAAAAATTACTGTCAAAATTACGGTGAGTCAAATGTAATGTACTTACAATCCGTGCGACCTTATTGTTATTAATGCAAAAGGGTTTGATTCTCTCTTTTCCCAAGCCAAAAGGCCAACGGTTTTGAACCAAAAAAAAAACAAAAAAAGTTTAAAAGTCACTAGTACTCTAGTTTGCTTTAGGTCCTTCACTTGGGGCTTTTACGGTAATTAAAGTGAGTTTCATTTCTATATACATATGAATTATCATGTACAGTGTTTATTCATACTCTCATTTTACTTTTTACATACCTTATTTAATTTTAAGTCATCGAATTGAATAATAAATTCAAGATGACCAACAGAGAGAGGTTAACAAGGGGTTTGTAAAAAATAAAAATAAACGCGAGAATAGCACCACTCATCATGTTTTATTGGTTGAGGGTTCATCAGCTTGATTTTTATAACATTTGAATCAAACTCAATTTTATGCTTTACTATGAAAGACGTAAGTGAGAAATCTTACGTAAAATTATGTAGATGATGATGTTTGTAACTCTTATAAAATCGTAAGTTGATACATAGTTTCACGAGTAAAAGTCGAACTTCAACGCCATAAGTTTGGTATAAAAAAACATAGATTTTACAACATAGAAGTTATTGGTTCACTGGATAGATTGAACTAACGATGCAAACACTACAAGATCAACGTAACGGAGAAAAAAAATCTACAAACTACAAAGACAAAAATGAAAACTCGTGTAATTAAATTAGTGCAATTTTGGGAAAGTAAAATGTCTTGTGTGCTGGCCGATAAGATACAAACACAGCATTGCCCCCTTCAATAAATCAAAGGAAATATGTCCCACCATTGCTTTCCACTTTCTAGTCCGTTTTCTAACTAATCCCACCTACTCATCAATATATATTCAAAGTTTCAAACCATCCCTTTTTCTTTTCTTTTCTTTTCTTTTTTTAATTTCTTTTCTAACCTCTCAATTTTTTATTTTTTATTTTTAATCGGATTCTAATTCTTGAATTTAATTGGTAAGAAATTGTATGCCTTTTTTAAAAAAGAGCTCACATTATTCCATGGACAACATCAATGTTGAATTATACATTTGTTTTTTAAAACAAGCAATATCAGAAGAAGAAAAATCTAATTCGAGACTTTGAGTGTAGAGATAAATACTCTTAATTAACTCAGATACTAGTGTTGAATTAGAATAATATTTGCCTACATAAAATTTGTGAAGGAACTTTTTTTCAAAATAATTTATGACCAATTTATGAAACTCTATGCTTATGATGAAAACCGTTCTTAATATAAATCCCCTTATAAAAATCATCTCTCTAAAAATTCAATAAAATATGAGATCGTTTAGTCATTGAACTGTATAAAAATGGATGGTCAAAATCAGTCAAAGCATTGCTTGCTACAGTTGATTGACTAAACGACTTCAATTTTATTTATTTTATTATTATTTTTTTTTTTTTGCAAATACGATTTTTATAGAGTGATTCATAATACAAACATTTCCGATCATAAGCACGAAATTTTGTAAATAGGTCATAAAGTATTTTGAATAGAAATTCGTTCCCAATTTTGTAGAATCAAATATTGTCTGGTCAGATATATGCCAAACCCAAATTCATAATATTCAAACCGTCCAAATGCTCAAGAATTTGGTTCCAAGACTTCGTTTCCTTGAAGAAAACCGGACTAAAGCTGAAAGGCCAAATCAGAGACAGCTTCTTGTTGCAGTTTTATGGAACATAACATTGTTCCATTAGTCAACTAACTTTCATAATGATTGGGTTCAAATCTAAATTCCGGCTGGATTTGGCTTATAAAACAATGATTACTAATAGGCTTCCTACCCTACTAACCAACATATATCAGTAACAACCAGTAAGTGCTATGTCATAACCTCGCTTAACACATGTTCTTGGGACCATAATTTTCCTTCCAAACACCTTTCAGGAGATTAACATTCTCTCTAATCATTGTGATGGCTATGTTTGCAGACATCTCAGCTTGATTTTGCATTTTCATGCCCCTTTTATTGACAGTTTAAACTCATTCTCACACATTCGTTTACGTGTAGCTACACTCAAGTCAAAACACGTGGACAACGTACACTTGGTGAGATGGATGTACTTTGAACATAAGTCAACGTACTCTAATATCATGAAAGAGTAGTAATAGAGAAAGTGACTTAACTACTTATAAATCCTTGCAAAATTTCTTAACTTTTCAATGTGGAGTGCCACTTCACATCCTTACAGTGGTCTCCGCATGAGACTTCCGTAAATAGAACAAGAGATCATAAGATTTCTCGAACTTTGTAAAGAACGATGTAACCTATATATGGAGAGATTATTTCTTATAACCAATGTGTAGTTCTAATAACATCAGAATGTGCTAAAAAGGTAAACCATTGATCAATGAATGATTTTCATGTGGCGTGTTTAGTTACATGAGAGTATTTCATGTAGGTGCCATGGTAGTATATTTACTTTAATTTAGAGGTTTGTTTTGGTAAAAGAAATATTTAGCACTTTTGTTATCCTTGTGATTTACGCCTCCAAAAATCTAAACAAAAAAATGTTAAGCATGAAAAACGTGTTACGCGGGTGGACGTGATTCGCACGGTCGAAAGAAGGCGCGTGAGCTGTCTTGGCTTTATTGAGGTCAGTGAGTGAGTGAGAGAGAGAGAGAGAGAGAGAGAGAGAGAGTGAGAGAGTGTAGTACAAAAATGACACATGATGCGGTGTGTTTTTATTTACGTAATATGCCACTTTTGTGGCTGTGAATTTTCGACTTCAAAATTTAGCATTTACCCCCTTCCCTTCCCTCCTCATCTATTGCGACAGTGATGACGTGGACCAATTCATGTCCTTGGTCGTTGTATTCCAAACCCTAAAGATCAAACGGTTGATTGGAATTGTTATGAGCTGGAAGTCTCCAGATTCAAACGCTACGCTGCAAAAAGTCAAGGTCATTAATTTTGAATTAGAAAAAAGTTTGTTGTCTGCATTATGAAGATTAATTAACCGGACAATGACCTTTGCTGGTGTGATTAGTTTGGGATTAATTCTTTTGAAGATCCACCGTTAACCTAATTGACGAAGACTGAGAAAAAGGAGAAGGGTGTATGCAAAAGGACCTTTAATGCTTAAGTTAGGAATAGTTTGAGATAAACTATAACAGAGAGGACTTTGAGTAGTAAATGGTGATTAGCCATTCCATTGTTCGCCTTGACTAGTTATAAGAGCGAACCCTCATAGGCAGCTGGGAAGGGAGACCCTAGGCCATACTAGGCAAAATGCTATGTTCTGCTAGTATGATGCTGACTAATCTCGTCATGTTGAAGGCCTTTGGAAATAACTACGCGATAGTGTTGGACTCCCAAGGGAGACCCTAAAGAGTCAATTTCTTGCCATCTTAGATCGAGAATATCACGATGGCAGGATCGGGATATCAAGGGCCTTGATATGTAACTGACTCAAAGGCCTAGTACCTATAAGGCTTGTAGATATTAGGCCTTTTGTGGTACCCTGTAGTTTGCTCACAACGTCAAGTAAAGCAGTCATATTGAGTTCGAAGTTCATGTGTCCTTTTATTAGATGTGGTTAAT